ATTTTTTTTTTCTTGTTTTTTAGGAAATTCTAATTTTAGAATTAAGATAAGCAAATTAGAAGTGACTTTTAGATGGTTTTTAATTCTTTTTTCTTGTTTTTTTAGGAAATTTCTCTTTTTGAAACTAAGATAAGCCTTTTGAAAGGGGTATTTTAGTGGGTTTCTAATTTTTTCTTTATTTTTTCTTTACTTTTTTAGGAACACATTAAGATAAATCTTTCAGAGTAATTTTTTGGTAATTTCTAATTGTTTTCTTTATTTTTTCTTTACTTTTTTAGAAATACATTAAGATAAGCCTTTTAGAGGTGGTTTTTAATGGGATTTTAATTATTTTTTTTATTTTTTTTATTTTTTTTAGTAATACATTAAGATAAGCTTTTTAGAAGTAATATTTTGGTGGGATTTTAACTGTTTCTTTATTTTTTATTTATTCTCTTTAGGAATACGTTAAGGTAAACCTTTCAGAAGTAATATTTTAATAGTTTTTTAACTATATTTTTTATAATTTGTAGACTATTAATAAATTATGATTGAATGCAATTGAAAATATTTTATAATAAAATTATTATAAAATATTGCAACTGAATATAACTGAAAAATGATTAATGGTCTATGAATTATGAAATTAGCTGTAAAATAAAGCCTTTTAAAGATGATTTTTTGTGAATTTTTAACTGTTTTCTTTATTTTTCTTTACTTTTTAGGAATATACTTTTCAAAGATGATTTTTAGTGAGATTTCTAACTGTTATCTTTATTTTTTCTTTACTTTCTTTAGGAATACATTAAGATAAGAAAATCAGAGGTTGTATTTTGGTGGTTTTTTAATTGTTTTCTTTATTTTTTCTTTATTTTTTTTTTAGAAATATATTAAAATAAGTAAATTGGAGGTGGTTTTTAATAATTTTTCTAACTGTTTTCTTTATTTTTATTTATTTTTTTAGGAATACATTAAGATAAGTAAATCAGAGGTGGTATTTTAGTGGTTTTCTATACTAGTCGAAATAATCCATTTTGTCACTTTTTTAAGTGCTGAATGTTGGTTAAAATATAGTCTAATTTCTGCTGATCATTGCTAAAACAATCAGCATTTTTAATTATAGCTGATATTGCCTAATTCAGATATTACACAAATAAACATTTGACATTAACGATTAGTAGTTATTTGATATATTACTAGATAAAATAATACAATTTATCACATTTAAAATGCCAAAAGTTAGCTAAAATATAGTATAATTCTGCCAATCATTACCAAAAAATTAGCATTTTGAATAAATAGAAAATCAGCTATCAATCAGCATTTATGTTAAAAATTGGTCAAAATTCAGCATAAATTAGCTTAAACTCAGTCAACAATCAGGCAAAAATCAATTAAAAAATCAAAACTAATAAATCTTATTTTTGTTTATTTATGATTTATAATTTATTTTAATAAATTATTTAAAAAGAATATATATTGTATTATATTTTATTAAAAAAAAATATATTTGATTTTTTAAAAATAAGAAAAAATAAAAAAATCAGTTAGAAAACTATCAAAATACTATTTTTGAAAGGCTTATCTTAATGTATTCCTAAAAAAAAATAAAGAAAACAGTTAGAAAACCACCAAAATATTATTTCTGAAAGGCTTATCTTAATGTATTCCTAAAAAAGTAAAGAAAACATTTAGAAAACTACCAAAATACCACCACCGAAAGGCTTATCTTAATGTATTTCTAAAGAAAGTAAAGAAAAAATAAAGAATACAGTTAGAAAACTACTAAAATATTACCTTTGAAAGGCTTACCTTAATGTATTCCTAAAAAAAGTAAAGAAAAAATAAAGAAAATAGTTAAAAAACCACCAAAATATCACCTCTGAAAGGCTTACCTTAATGTATTCTTAAAGAAAGTAAAAAAATAAAGAAAACAGTTAGAAAACCACTAAGATATTACCTTCAACTTATTTACCTTAATATATTTCTAAAAAAAAAGTAAAGAAAAAATAAAGAAAATAGTTAGAAAACCACCAAAATACTACTTCTGATTTACTTATCTTAATGTATTCCTAAAAAAGGTAAAGAAAAAATAAAAACAGTTAAAAAACCATTAAAATATCACCTCTGATTTACTTACTTTAATATATTTCTAAAAAAAGTAAATAAATTATAAAAACAGTTAGAAAATCACTTCTGAAAGGCCAACTTTAATGTATTTCTAAAAAAAAAAAGTAAAGAAAAAATAAAGAAAACAGTTAAAAACTACCAAAATACAATTTCTGATTTACTTACCTTAATGTATTCCTAAAGAAAGTAAAGAAAAATAAAAAAAAAAGTTAAAAATCATCTAAAAGTTACTTCTGATTCATTTACCTTAATTCCAAAAGAAAAAAAAAATTTATTCAAAATATTCTAAAAGTTAATCAGTTTTATATTGTAAACTAAACTAAAATTTTGATTAATCCGAAATTTAAATATTATTTTTTACTTATCATAAATACTCCAAATGAATGATTTTGCATCATCTGATTGGAAAAATATAGAAAACCTTTTGAAAGAAATGATAATTTGATTATTCCTTAAGAATAATATAGAAAATTGTTCGAAAGGAATGATGATTTGATCATTTTTTAAAAATGATATAGAATATTGTTTGAAAGAAACAATCAAATCATCATTCCTTTCGAACAATTTTCTATATTATTCTAAAGGAACAATAAATTATCATTCTGAACAATAATAAAAATCATTCTAAAGAAATAATAAATTATTATTCTGAAAGAACGATAACAAAAATTGTTTCAAAAGAATGATAAAAAACATTATTCTTTTTAGAATAATGATGAATTATTCCAAAAGAATATTAAAAAATTGTTCTTTTTGGAATGATGATGAATTGTTCTGAAAGAATGATAAAAAAAATTATTCTGAAAGAACGATAAAAAATTATTATTCTTTTTAGAATGATAATGAATTATTCCAAAAGAACGATAAAAAAAATTGTTTTTTTAGAATGATGATGTATCATTCTGAAAGAACAATAAAAAATAATATTGTTCTTTTAGAATGATGAAGTATTGTTCTAAAATAACGATAAAAAATTATTGTTTTAAAAGAACAATAACAAAAATCATTTTTTTTAGAACGATAAAAAAAATATTCTTTCAGAATGATAATTAAATTATTCCTTTAGAAATGATTTCTATCATTTCTTTGGAAATAATAGTTTGTTTCTTTAGAGACGATTTCTATCATATTTTTGAAAAAGATTGTTTGTTCCTTTAGGAACAATTTCTATTGTCTCTTTGAGAATGATTATTTGTTTCTTTTAGGATAATAGAAACCGTCTCTTTGAGAACGATTGTTTGTTCCTTTTGGAATAATAAAAATTATCTCTTTGTAAATAATTATTCGTTTCTTTTGGGACAATAGAAATTGTCTCTTTAGAAACGATTGTTCATCCCAAAAGAAATGATTGTTTGTTTCTTTTAAGATAATTTTTATCATCTCTTTTGGGACAATTATATCATCTCTTTGGGAATGATTGTTCGTTTCTTTTAGGATAATTTCTATTGTCTTTTTTAGGATGATTGTATTGTCTTTTTGAGAATGATTTATCATTTCTTTAGGGACAATTTCTATCATTTCTTTAAGGATGATTTCTATTGTTTTTTAAAAACAATTATTTGTTTCTTTAGAGACGATTTCTATTGTCTCTTTGGGATGATTTCTATCGTTTCTTTGGGATGATTACTCTTGGAATGTTTTTATAATTTTGCAAAAATTGGCACAACTGATTTCGACCAGTAAGATACAGTCGATTTGTTGCCAAATCTTGAGTCTAACTGAAATTTTGCTGAATATTATAAATGAAAGGTCTTGATGCTAAAATAATGCTAAATTATATGTGATGTAATAAATTACTATTGATTTTTGTAACTTAAGCTGAATTTTTTCTGAATCACATAACCGAATTAGCTGAATGTTAAACGAATAGTATTAGTGGTGAAAGAAATTATTTCGACTAGTGTATAGCTAAAGAATATAAAAAAAATATCTATTTAATATAAAATGATTATAAAAAATAAAAATTTATCTAAAAATCAGATTATATTATAAAGAATATATAGTAAGTATTAAGTTAAAAATATTTAAAAAAAACAACTACTTAAATATTAGTAAAATAAAATAAAGAAATTGAGTTTAGTAATAATTAAAAATAAAAAACTTTTTAAGAAAATGTTATATAATAATCTATATATTATTAAATAATTAATTATCAGTAAATTAATTAATTATCATAAAAATTTACAATATATTTATATGTAAATTACTTTATATTTATTAAAAAAAAAAAAAATTAATAAGAATTTAATAAGTCTAAAAATCTATTTAATATATATTTTAAAAAGTAAATTTTTTTTAAATCTAAAATTCTATTTTATTTTTCCAAATTTAAAAAATTTTTAGAAAGCATAAGTAAAAATATTTATTATAAACTAAAAGTTTTAACTTTTAATTTTAATACCAAAATCTATTATAACAAATTAAAATTATTAGATTATTTGGTATATATCGATATTACATTATTAAATTTTTTACATAATGAAAAAGTAAACGATAAAAAATTTTCGTATTATAATTTATATCAATCCTCTTATTTTACTAGTTAAATAAGTAAATAAGTTTCTATTTAGCATTTTAATGTTTTTTTGAATTTTTGTTACGAACATGGGGTGAGTGCTGGGAAAATGGACCAAATTGATTTTTTTTTTAAAAAAAAAGTTCCCAAGTAAAATAGATGTAGATTTGGTCATCTGATTCAGATCATTTGTTATTTCAAAAAAAAATTTTTTGTCGATTTGGTCCTTTTTCCCAGCACTCACCCCACATGGTTAATTTCCTAATGCCAGCAGATTGCTTATAATGCCGGTCAAAATTACGAGTAGAAAAATTTTTTTGTGCCGTTTTATTGGATACGTAGATTTATTCAAAAAATTTTCAACTTTCTCTAAATAATGTCTTATCAAACCTTTCACCCAAATACAGGAAGTGTTCAAACTGTTAGTGAAGACAATCCAGATGACGAGAACAGCCCATTATATCCTTTTGGAAAACCAGTATTCTTATCTGGTTTATCTGTTCAAATGGGTATTGTTTGAATTAGATTGCAGTTAAACATATGAAAATAACTTATATTTAATAAATTCATTTATCTATAGCATTCGTTCGTAAGGTTTGGGTAATTTTTACTAGTGAACTTGTAGCAGTTACCTTTACAACAGCCTTACTTATCTATATGTATGAATGGAGGCATTTCCTTCAAAGACAGTAAGTATTTTTTATTTATTTGAATCGATGAATTAATTAATACTGATAATAAATTATATGAATTTAGCATTTGGGCTTGGTGGGTTTCAATCGTCATGTCATTTATTTTATTGATTGCTTTAACATATAAATCCAACGATGATTTCCAACCACCATGGTATTTGGTCATAATATATACCTGTTTTAACGCTTATGCTGTCGGTGGACTTGGTAAGATAAATTAATTATTAATTATTATTATATCATATAAAACTAAATTATCCTCTTTCATATTAGTTTCTTTTCTTCGATTGACTTTCGTACTCGATACTTTAATTTTGATGGTGGTGGCGAGCTTTTCAGTGCTTGCATTTACGAATCAATCAACTTATAAGTTTAGAGCGAAAGAACCCTTGTATTTATTTATTTATTTTTTATAAAATTATTTTCTTTCATTGATAAATTTATTAATGGTTACATTTATCATTTTATATAGAATTATGACCTCGGTGATGATCCTTATAGCCTCATTAATACTTCATCCTTGGTTATTCAGTTTTGCTGATTTAATTCCGGCATTTTCCCTTGCATTGATCTTGAGTTTATATTTCATTTTGGATACGTGGTATTTGATGAAACAAATGAGCAAAGACGAATATTGGGGTGCGAGCATGCAATTGTATTTGGACTTGATTATTCCGTTTAGAATCATTCACCATATGTGTGAACTTACAGCGGAATTTGGGGAGGATGATTGAAATTAGATTTCAATTGTAGAAAATGTATATTTTCAATTTATGTATTTTTATAAACTGTAAACTATATTTATTTATCACGTGCATTGTGTTACAATACATCATATCACGTGCGGATTTTTTATGGTAAAATAAAGTATAATACACGGAGTAATGTATTATGCGTATAAAACAACTGTCATATTTCTGATATTTCCATGTTTTCTCAATATAAAAAAGATTTTTCGTTTAAAACCAATAGAGATTCTGTCACCTCGGAAGGTTCTGAAGAGCCAGGCGCGTCATTATTCTACTCCGTACAAACATTACCAACAGAATCAGAAATTCACGAGTCAATATCCCTTCAACCCTCACGGGTGCGAGAGTATAATCAATACGAGGACGAAGACGAACAAGAGAACGAGCCTGATGCAGCGTTTTTATCTGAACAATCTCCTAGTTTCTATTCCAAAAAGCAGGTAAAGAAAGAAATATATTCTTGTTTGTCAAAACATTTGAAACTTACTTCCATAATATTGCAATTGCAGGCTGCGGCAGAGATTTATCTAGACATTCCTACTAATCACATGGTTAAAGTTACTAATAACACACTCTCAGAGGGACTTCTTCCCACAACAAAGGTAAGAATCTTGTTTTATGTTATTCTTGAAGTAAAAAAATCGACCTTGCTTACTAGTAAATAACGGGGGGATTTTAGATACCGCCAAATCAACTTTCATGCGTTTTACACAGAAAGTATAAAGATCCAGCATTTGCAATCCTTTTTGGTTTAGGACTTATAATGATGTTAACTATTGGTACATTTCTGATATTCACAACCAATGTAAGTAACATTCTTTTTATAAATTCATGTTTTAATAAGTCAATAAATACGTGTACAAATAATTTTACCCGTTTTCGAATAAATATAATATGAATAGTCATACGTATTAAAGGATTATTCACATGGATCCGTATTTTTTGCCATCAGAGACAGCGTTGGACCACTTTTATTTGCTTTATTTTTCTCTCTAATTATGGGTGTTATATGGATATTATTACTTCGTTCATTTACCAAGATCATAGTTTGGGGAACTTTGACAGCCGTTCCATTCATTTGTTTTGCGATTTTCATTTGGACTAGAGTTGAAGCATTTTCGGGAGCTCTTCGAGATTCAGGGAAGCCTGATCCGCAAGATGATGCACTCGCGGTGTTATCATTTATTCCATTGATTATATTCATTGTATATTCAATAATTCTTTTTACTCATCGAAAAAAAATCGAAAGGACTATATCCCTTATTCAATTAGCAATTGATATAGTGAGAGATAATCCGCAAATGTTTTGGGTTTCGCTCAAGATTCTTACTGTTTATGTCTTATTTACAATAATGTGGTTATATGTATTTAGTCATGTATTTCTAGTTGGACATATGGTGCAAATTGCTTCAGGTTATTATTTTTATAATTTAATTTTATAATTGGGGTTTATTTTTATATTGATTATGTTATTTGCATTTAGAAGACATTTGGAAATTAGAGCCAAATACATATCTACTCATTTTGTATTTCATCTTTATGTATTTATGGACTTCCGCTGTTTTGAGTAATGTTCAAAAAGTAACCATATCTGGAGTTGTATCAAATTGGTATTTTTATAGGTATTTCAAATATTTCGTTAAATATATTTTATATATACATATATATGTGTATATATATGGACGTGAGATCAGGAAAATCATATGCTGATCATATGATATATATGGTTATTTTCCTAGATCATACTCCATAAATTTGAATATAATAACATTCTAATATTTTGTTATTTTAGAAATGATTATGATGATTTAGATGATTCAGATCGAAATAAGGAAGTAACAGATATATCTTTTTTGAAGGCAACGACAGTTTCATTTGGAACAGTTTGTCTTGGAGGGCTTATTCTTTCATCTATTCAAATAATTAAATACTTTACCGATTTTTTGAAAAAGGTAAGAATGAAATTAAAGTTATTTAAAATATTACTACTATTTAATTAATTAATTAATTAATTATTTTTAAAAAACAGAAATTCAAAAATAGCTCGGTTCTTTGTTGTCTATCATGGGTTCTGACATTCATTGATGGTATTATAGACAATTTAAACAATTATACTTTAATTTACGTAGGCATTTATGGTGAGAATTTCTGTTCTTCGGCACATAAAACGACCAAGTTATTTCGTGGTAATCTTGTTTCTGGACTAGTAAGCGGTGAGCATTTTAATAAAAATTATAAAATATTCCCCTTTAAAACATTCTGTTGACCTTTACATATCTCATATAATTATTTCAGACTTTGCAGCCAAATCGATTCTGTATATCGGATCTATAATCATCGCACTTATTTGTGGATTCGCAACCTTTATATATGCTACACATACACTTCAATCACCATACGGATATGTTGTTGGAATTATAGCTTCAATCGTTCCTTATTATATTTCGCAATTTTATACACACATTATGATGAACACGTAAGTTGTTTAAATTAAATTTATTTATCAAAATTCTTATTAACAAATTTTAATATATTGCAGAGTCGATGCTACTTTTGTGTGTTATACAATTGATCTTGATTCAAACTTGGAAAGTTGTAAAAGAGCACATAAAGCATTTTCCAATTAATAGTAAATAATTAAATAAGGCTGAGTTAAATTTGTTTATAATTTTCTTTTTTTTTTAAAGGGCTTTAAATTAAAAATAAAACCCTTCAATCTGTATTATATCTCGAACATAAAATAAATTTTTTTTTTGAAATCAAACTTGTTACACAATTCATAGAAAGGAGAAAAGAAGTGGTCAATTTCTTTTAATAGTATTATGTCAATGTTAGTGTTACAATATGAAGGACGGATATGGGAAAGAGGAGAAATCAATAATATTTTTAACGACTTTATAAAATGTGGGTCGTGTGACATTATCCTTTGAACATTTGAACATCAGAAGGTACTCCCCATGTACGTCCATGACTTTATTTGTTATAGTGCAGATAGTGTATTTTTGCGCCAGAAAGTTGGCCGGTTCCACAAACAAATCTGGCAACTTGTTCAGAAAAATCCCCGTGTTTTACTTTATGTAAAAAATATCCTCTTTTTTACTCCTTTCGAACAAAATAGATATTATATATCGTGAAGGGACGAAATAGTCAAAAAAAAGAAAAAAATAATTTTTTTTTAAGCGTTGGGTGATAGATTCACAGTTTCTCAAAGTGTTTCTGTCCACCACAAACCCAACTGCATAAATTACCCTAAATAAAAAAATTTCTACCTACTCTTGTCCAATCTTTATTATACCTGGTGAATAATTGATATGGAATACCATAGTACGGGCAGCCCAACCGCAAGGCTGGGCGGCTCTGTACCAAATCCCACCGATTTATCTCGTCGATTGCTGTCAACTCAGCAAGTGCAACAGGCGACAGAATCCATTAGTGACGACGAAAGTATTAATACCCCAGCACCGCGATCCCGCTTAAATAGTGTGACCCGGTTTGATAACTCTTCTGGGGCTTCTTTTTGGGAGACCTTATCACCTACTCCTAAGTCTCCTGTACTTCTTCAATGTTGTTGCGGAAAAGAAACTTGTCAAAACCTATTAGCATTTCTAAGAAGCACTCGCTCATTGGAAGATGAGTTAAGGTTAGCTGCTGGTGAGGTTTTCATTCATTGTACAAAAAAAAAAATTTTTGATCAGTTATATAGTCAGTAAAATCGATCGTTATTAATAAAATCATTATATGCTTATTCTTTTTTCAGAGGTTGGACAAGCTCTTTTACAAAAACAACAAAAATATGAAATAGATCAAAAAAAAATGGAAAGTTTCCGATCAGCACTAGAAATTCAGGTATACTTCAAAAAATTAGCTAATTGTACAATTACCGAATATGGAAATTTATTATCTCATTTATTATTTGTCATATAGTGTGCGCGCTCGGAACAAAGTGTTCAAGAGCTCAAGGACATGGTGTTCGAGCTTGAAGACACGCAAAGAATAATAACAAGGGAAAGAGATGACACATTGAGACAGAAAAATCTTTTGGATGAGGTAAAAAATTATTTGATAAATAACGTTGTCGTAGAAAATAAACTTACATCCTTTTTTATTTTTGTTAGAAAAATGATATCTTAGTAACCGCTCTTGATAAACATGATTCAATGGTTCGGGACCTAAATTCAGAATTAAAAGAGCGTGACAACGAAATCAAAAGATTAATGGCTTGTAATCTTAAAGGAGAGAGAAGTGAGGAAAGGGAAGAAATGCTAAGTAGACAATTGGAAGATCTGCAACAAGAATTGGCGGTTTCTCGAAAATCGGAAATAGCTGCTGAAATGAGTGTTAAACAATTGAAAAATAAATTTGGTAAACATTTCTTTTTTCTTTTTTTTAAAGAAAAAATCGACAACAATAAAGATAAACAAATTTATTTATTTATTTATTCATAGACCAACTTCATAGTGCACATGAAAAGCTAAAAAAAGAACAAATCGAAATAAAAAAATCAAAGCAAAAGTTGGAGGCCGTTGCTATGCTTCGTGAGCCCAAAGAAAATTATAAGGTAATCATTTATTATTTTATTAATGCACACTATACTTTATATCTAAATTTTATTATATATATATATATATATATATATATTTTACATAGTCCTCTCCGTCAAATAATGAAGCAAATAATCATCTTATTGCATTAATTAAAGAACTTTCATCTGCAAATAATAAATTAAAATCCGAAAATTCCGAATATCGTGAACTTCTATTAGAATCCAGAAATGAACTTAGCACTTTACAAAATCGTATTGAGGATATGGAAACTGCAAGTACAACTGGTTACGTTTATCCTGCCAGTCATGCAAGTTCCGCTGCATTTGTTTCTTCTCCTTTTAAATCAAATTTTCCTCTACATGTGTTGGATGAAAGGGGAATTTGTGGCGAAAATTCATCTATTATTGAAGTTGAAGAAAATGGTGAAGGTTCAAATTTTCCATCTGGATCTTCTACTAAGCCAATTCTTCACATGTCTCCTATATCATCATCATTTAGTCATGCTTCCCATAATACGTTCAATAGCCTAGGCGTAGATCCTTCGGCCCATTCACCTGTTGGTTCTTTTATTTCAACTTCAGCATTATCTAGTTCCAATCCTTTACAACATCATCATCATCATCATTACTATCATTATCCCAATGAAAATGTGGATATAGTTCGAGGAAGTAGTGTATTTGGAGAGCTCGAAAAATATCTAATGAAAAAAACAAAACATAAGGGTGTTATAAAGTCTGAACGTAACGGTAAAAGGAAGGGTAAAAAAGCATTTTATGAAATTGGTGAGGAAGATGAAGAACAACATAAGGACAGTGCTCAATCCGATACCACTGAAAAGAAATTTGAAAGAAATTATGATGAAACTTCCGATTCAGATATTATATACAGCGATGATAGTGGTGAAGAAAGAAATCCCGAGGTTTGTTATTTATTTTAGTTCTCTGAAAAGGAAGCTGGTTGATCATTTAAGCGTATTTTTTAGCAATTGTTTTGGTTTTTTTTTTTTTTTTTTGTTATTTTGTTGGAGTTTGTTGAATTTTGGGCGAGTTTACCGAAGCCAATTCTGGTATTTATTCCTCATCCAGACACTTTCTTCCCCCTTTGGTTTCTTATTTTTGGCATTTATTGAACATTAGGGAGACGTAAAATATTCGGATAAATCAAAGAAGGAATCCAAGTCGAAGTCTACAAAAAGTCAAGGAAAAAAGAAGATTCGAGCATTTTCCTTACCAGTTCAAAATGCTAAACAGAATGTCTCCTTATTATCTGCCAGTCTCAAGAAATCAGCTGCTGAAAATTCTAAAGATGAACTAAAAGGTGACAAATCACTAACCAGGGAACCTTTAAGTAGTATTATTAAAAGGAAAAGTGATTCTAAATTCCCTTATCTTCGTGATCATTCAGTTCCAAATTTATCTTCGAAGCGAGCAAATGGTGTAAAACCCATTTTATCTCCCGGTTTGAAACAGCACAAACCTTCACAATCGTCACCATTGGCTGTAAATCGTCGAGCATCTACCGCTGCCCCATCTTCGTTATCAGTAAAAATATCTCAATCTTCTAATTCGCCCGCCGCGAATCCTCCTAAATTAAAAAATATTTCAACAAAACCTTCAATACCTGCTTTCAAGAATCCAAAATTTGCAACTTTAAGGCCTAAGGAACGTAAACAAATGATGGAAATGTGGCGCGCTGGAGTCGCAAAGGAACAGCTTAGTAACGAAGATGGTGAAGATAATTATGAAGAAAATGAAACCTTCAAAGATAATAATAGTGATGTTGAAACTGTTAAGGGTAAAAGTCGGATGGATTCAAAGAATTCGCCAATTAAAGAATTTGTAGAAGAGGTTTTGGTCGATGAAGCTAATGCTTCAGCTGCTGAAGCTGCCGCTTTTGCTAATGAAGTTGAGAATAGTTTGACAACTTCAGCAAAATCTACCCATTCTCGTCATGCTTCAACAGCAACGCGAAATACTTCATCTCATATACCTTCAATAAAGGTTCAAGGCGTTAACGAAAGTAAAGCCGACCCTCACCAACCTGAATCTCCACAACAACAAAATCCGTACCAAATACTCTTTAATATCGGTAGTTCTATTATGGATCGTCTCAAAGGCACAGACCTTTTAGCTTTGAACCGTCGGTTAAAGAGAACTTTTGATATATTAGAATTAAGCAGCTTAAGTAACAATTTAATTGAAAATATTTTAGTAGATGTTGAAAATCTTAGGGAAAGATTCCGATGGGTTGAAGATTTGCGCAAAATTGAAGAAATAAAGACAGATGGAAAGGAAGGTTATAATTCCGATGATAATTCTAGTCAAAAAGATCTATTTACATTTTCTCCCGAAAATTTCTTACCATTAACACATTTCATGCAAGACCTTTTAACTGAAGTTTGTAAGTTACGGATGATGATTAATGAAGTTCAAGTTGAATACTTTCAAAAAGTTGAAGCGAGTCGAAGAAAAGCTGAAGAAGAGTTTGACAGAAGTTTGCAGAGTGGAAAGGAAGAAAACACGGAAAGAAGAGAAAGAGAGAGGCGTAGTCAAAGTAGTGACGATGGATTTGGTGCCTACTTTAGTCGGGTATTATTTGGAGGATCTAAAGAAGTTCAATCCCCACCAAGTTCTGCTCGTCATCATAGTCGAAGATTATCAGTAGATTTTTTGCATGAACGCGATGTATCCATTGGTAGTATTGATACTTTTGCCGAGGATTCATATTTTGCAGATCGGAATCTGGAATCTTACACTAATGCGCCAAATACATTGAGAGATTCAAAGAGAAGGGATAGTAATGAAACAGTTGGTTCAATGTTAAGAAGAAATGTTGTTTCTTTTTTTGGAGGAGGTGGTGGTGGGAACAATACTATTCTAGGGAAGAAGAATATAGCAGAGAAGAAAGTCGGGAAATTAGTGGACAGCGCAAGTGGGAAGAAGAAATTCGGGACACTGACTGGTCGGAACGTTAGTGCAGAATCTTTTCAACATAAAAGTCGATTAACCAGTAGTGAAAATGGATTGATATCAGCGTCTGTTAATCGACACGGTGATGGTAATGAAAGAGGCTTGTTGGCAGATGTATCCACATCATCACCTATAAGATCTCCAACTTCAACAACCATACAGTATATTGGATCTGATGGATCACCCACAATTCCACAACCTATCTCACCACCACCACCATTAACTACAACAACGCCGAAACAAACAAAGTTGTTGACAAATAATGGTAATTTAGAAGATCGTTTACGACAACATTTGGCTTCCGCTACTCCAACAAATACAACAGCAATAATAGCACGGGAAGTTGCAATTTGCAATAATAATAATAATATTAATAATAAAACGGAAACCGGTGAATGGAATGTTGGGACAATGTTGGACAAGCTATTTGGTGGTCAATAGATCATACAATAATATGTCAAGACTTTCCAATTAACTTAAGGTAAATGGATTATTGTAAAATACATAAAAGATTAGACAATAAGGTAATTATATATATATATATTCGGGGGAAACTATTTATTTGGAGATCTTCATATATGAAAATTATCTGTATTATTTATTATGTTATTATCAAATTTTATTATTATTTCTTTTCAAGCAACAAATTTATGTATATAGAATCATTTTAATAAGAACTTTATTTCATCCGATAACATTTGTAAAAACAAAAACCAAATTCTAAAATGTCGAAATATAAATATTTATTATTTCACTTTTTTTTTTTTTAAAAAAAAAAAACCAAAATCAAAATAAAACAAGATTTAATTATTAAAGTATTTAAAGTCCAATTACTTATATAGAGACGATATCAACGTTAACCTAATAAATTATCACAACAAACAATTATCATATATATATGTAAATTTGAAAATGGGTACATTGTTTGATTATTACGATGTAATATTTATTGTTTGATTTTATTTTCTTTAACAAATTATTATCACAAGATACGATCCAACCAACCTTGTTAGTTCTCATGATTTAAATGCATAAGCCCGAATCTGATAACAAATTACACATAACTTACCGTAATTAGGGACGTTATAATCGATCCATCCGATCCGTCCGATCCGTCAGGTCTTCATGATCTGGAATGAGATCTGAAATGGGATCTGAAATAGGATCCGAAATGGGATGAAATTTGGCCGAAGGCGATCTTAAAGATCGATTTTTAGACCGATCTTTATACCGATCTTTTTGACCAGTAGCAATCCAAATTAACCAAATTTTTAATTAACAAGGTGAAAAAAAATTTTTATAAAAAAAAAAAATAGAAAAGGAAATTAACTATCATTATTCTCTGAATTTTCCTATATTATTACCTGATTGTTTTTTAGTTTCTATATCGTATCCATATCCACTTTGAAGTAAATTCACATCACTGATGTTTTTGGGGAATAAAAGTTCAACATACATCAATGGACTTTTCCCAAATTGAATTATAAGCTTATTAACTATCCATTCAATAAAATTTTTCAAATCTTTTTGAGGATAAGTCAAACTTTTTTTGGTGCTTGAATAATCATTTAATATACGATAAAAAATTTCCATAATCGAAAGCTAAATTATTTTTTTAAAAAAATTGTAAAACTATTGGATCTATGATCAAAATATTCGGTCCGTAAAAAAAGAGAAAATAAATAAAAGAAAAAAAATAAATAATATTTTAAATACCTTAAAGAACATAGCCTCTAAATGACAATGCCTGGCAATCCGAAAGAACATCATCGTAATGTGTTTTATGGTTTCGGAATCAATTTCTTGATATTCTTCTAACAACATGACATAATTTTTAACGATAATTTCATTCGCAAATTTATTTTCAACCTTTTCAAATATGGCTTTATAATTAATATTCTGATTTTGTTCATTCTCGCTACTCTCGTCACGGTAGTCGTCAGCAACTTTTGAATCAAAATTATCTTCGGTTGTATGACTCTTTTCATTCTTTCTTTTCCGAGGTCGCGATTTCTTACATTCCATATATTTATTTGATTTCGAGTATTTCTCGAGCAAATGTAAAAGCACGTGAGCTGCAGCGATTACACTCTGCAAGTATCCAATTGAATGAGAATGAGGTTTGTATTCTCTAACAAGTTCTGTAATTAATTCCAAGTTCATCAATTCGCGATAAATCTCTAATTGCAATTCATCGGCGACCCATTTTTCACACACGTCTTTTGATAATGTCAACATTTTGATGGTCAAGAAAATTTGTTTTAAATATTCGACTACAAAATGAAGTTCGGACCATAACTTTTTCTCTCTCAAAGATCTTATCATTCTATACGCCAACATAATTCCATCCCCATCCATTATTTTGGAGACGATCTCAAAATCATGAAGATCCTTTGAGTTCGATTCCGTTCGTGATGATGGAACACGTATATCCTTGGATTTCAATAACAATCGTAATTCAAGAAAATAACACACTATATATGAGTAATGTACCATAATTTGTGGAACCTCATCGTATTCACCATTGATCAAGTCCTTCTTTAGTGATCTTAACAAAAATTTAAATCCATTTTCAAGAAAGAATAACGCGATATATTTTAAACAATCCTGTACGTGAGAATTAAGAATTTGATGTTTCCTTGACTTGTCAAATTCATCAAATGGTTTTGTTTTCTCATACTTCTTTTTCTTTACGTCATCCAATGCTTGTAAACCATCACCTTTTAACGCCTTCTGCTTGTGCACAACAAGGTCAGGACCATCAGGATTTATAATCCAAACCGAACCTTTGTAATGTGGATTCACATTATTACGCCTTTCCTTTTTGGCCAATTCTTCATCTAATAATTTTTGTGCTTTCCACATCGTTTCCTTCTTAATATCCATAAATAAACTATCGGAGTTGACTCCAAAGAAAATCTGATAGAAAATATCAATAAGTATAATATCCCATTCGAGAGCATCATCTTTACTTGTCGAGAGTTTAAGGAAAAGGTCAATTAGTTTCGTATTTTTAAATTCTAAGATCAGGTCATAATGTATCCGACTTCTCTTGTTCTTTGAGAGACTTTCAGAATTTGGTGGATCATCGATTGCCAATAAATTCCGACAAAAATTAAGTAAATGTCGAATTATGTTGTTATCACGTTCAGACCTCTCTTTTGATTCTACAACAAGATATTTCTCAAGCAATAGGTAAATTTGTCGCATGACTTCCGATTTTTTTAGAACGTAAAATTTATACCTTGATCGAGCGGTTAAGAGCTCCTTTATTTTAGAAAATGATTTCTCCTTTCGCTTTCTAATATTATATTCTTCGAGTTTTTTATCAATGTTACCACCGATATCACTATTATCGTCTTCTTCATCTTCTCTTTCCAACATATCTCGAGCCTGTTCATTCGGATCTTCAGGCCATGTCATGATTACCATCAATTCAACGCAAGCCAAAGCCAGTCGGTTCTGACGTTTATCATCAAGGTTTGTACAATTCAATAAAATAGGTATTAAATCCGTATTGAAAGTCTCGTAACTATAAAGTAAATGTAGTACGTCAATCTTAACTTGCCCTTCTAGTCGAAGGTATTCTTTTAAATCTTTAAGACAAGATAAACATTCATCTCCAAGTCGATAGATTTTTTTGTCACTGCCGTCTTTATTTTGTACCCTTTCAAAACCTCCCAGGGCATTACAAATATTAAAAATATCATTCTTTAAAGAATCGTCATAAGTCGCTTTGTTCATTTTGTTAGTTTTTATAAAATTATTAAAAAAAATAAAATAAAAAAAAACCGCGTTTAAATGCGACACGACGCGTTGACGATCAATGTTCAATCTTTATCACACCGCAATGTTGTCACAATGACAATGACAAAGTTCTGAATCACACATCCACTTGGAAAAATTAAAAAAAATTATTCGATTTTTCCTTTTATGGATTGGTTTTAAAAGTCACATAAGAATTTAATTCATGATATTCTAAGTAATGAATGAAATGATGATAATTTTTAAAATAATAATAAAATAAAAATAAAAATAAAAGGAACCAAAGGAACCACAATCGAGAAATAAGAAACTATAAAATACTTTTTTTTAAAAAAGAAACAATTTGTTATATTTCAACCAACCTCACAGAAAATTTCAAAACTAAACTTTCTTGTACTACTAATTATTATTAATATATATTATGATTATTATTAATTATTAATTATTATTAACGCTAGTTCTATAATCTTCAGTAGTCATTCTATGTTTAGCTTTAATAAACATAGGACCGGATGGAATGAAAGAAGCAGCATCTTTAAGTGGAATCAAATCTTGAGATCCAACAACTCCATTTTCAACAGCAGCATTTAATTTTTGTATACTATTAATATAATATAGCATTCTACTTGGACTATTCATTAATTCTATAGTACTAATTCGTCTGCACCACTCTTCACCAGCTTTATCACTTGTGCGTCTTTCAACACGATCAGTTGTGGCATTAATCATGTAAGAATTTGATACTGATGTAACATATTCAATGTCAGCGACACTGCTTTCACAACCTTTTATTGTTAATCTTGATCCTAAACCACATAATTGACGTTCAAAAAATTCCATCAGATGAATATAATAATGTTCAAAATGATCCGAATTGTAGGAAAGGAATTCTCCAATTCTTTTAAAAGTACTATTTTCCATCATTCCTTCAATTAAAGATAAATTGATAAAAAATGGTTTATCGAATAATACTGTATTTGAACGATCTTCGACGTAAACGTTATACCATGCACCTGGAGTTAATTCATGATCAACTGGATCGAAAAGTTTCTCTGTAATTACAATATTCATTTGTACTCTTTGATTTGGTGGTGGTTGCTGAGATAAAATTGAAAGTGTCCCATCATTCTCCCAGAATGTTGATGACGATGTACGTAACACGTGTTGTTCTACGTCTGTTGTCATTTTATATTGTCCGAGAAATTTAGAGATGATGCTGGTTGGAAGGTTACGCCACGTTAATCTTGGCCAATAATGACCTGTTACCTTGGATCTCCAACTTGATCCAGTTGTTATATAATTAATGTAAACACAATCAGGATCTAAATGGTGCTTATCCTTTTCTTCGCCCGCATATCTCATTCTTGCTCCTTCAACTGACCAATCGACCAAGAAATTGTCCCCAAAATATGCAAATCTGCTTCGTGCAGAGATTGCACTCCATATCGATTGTTCCCCTCCTTCTTTTCTACTCCTCAAATTCCATTTATCATTTAATTGTAATGAGAAAAGTTGTTCCCAGCAAGCAAAGTAGCATATGATATGGATAAATGATAAAAATAATTGAAGAAGACTGAATGGGTCAACGATACATTTTGATCCTGCTTCAAGTCCAAGCCAATAAGGGAGTGTGCTTCCACGATGAGGTGCGGAAAAAGTAATGACAGCCTTAATCATTCGTCCTGAAGTATGTTGCCCAAAGAAATTTGTCGACAACAAATGTTGAAGATAAAGTGCAGTCGTAGCACCATAACCTTTACCGATTAATACAATTGGATTATCTGGATTCCAGAGGGGCATAAATCCTTCATACGTTGTTCCCGATTGATTATGGCAAAACTGATGAGAATGTTGTAATCCGTAATCCTTAAAAGTGAAATTAAGAAAAAATTCTTTAAATTTTCTAAGACATAATATTAATCATCATTTTTTTTTTTAAAAAAAAAAAGTACTTACAACTTGACCACCTTTAATTTGATAATAAAGTTCAACAGCTCTATCGTGAATAGACTGTATATTTTGTTATAAGAAATAAAAAAAAAAGGGGAAATTTTAGCAATTTTATATAAAATCCTGCGTGTTTTTTTTTTTTTGCAAGATACTTACACCAAGAGGACTTGGGCTTGAGATAAAAGGATCTTCAATAATATCTTTTACATCGCTCCAGTAATCGTTAACAACCCAACTTTTACCACCCGGTAAAGGGATTTCGAGTGTGTTGAAACCAAATAAACCAGGCACGAGTACAAAAGTATCACCTTCACTTTCAAAGTTAAGCAAAACTTCTTTTATCGTAGGAGAAGGTTCAATCAACATTGAGTTATCTACGACGGGCATCGCACCGTATACTCCATTATATTGGTCAACTTCAGTGGGATAAATTTCATCATCATCTTGATAGAGGTGTGTTGGTACCGATGGCGTATTATTATTTTGATTTGGTGACTTCGATGTTATTCGAAATTGTCCGAGACTAAACATCTTATCTTTTTCGAGGGTAAAAAAGTCCGACTAGCACAATGATTTAATGTATTTAAAATGTTATATTGATAAGAAGTTTTTTTTAAAAAATATATATAAAGTGAGGTGTATATATATACATATATATCTCTTTATTTTTAACTCTTCTTTTTGTCGTGCTTTATACTTTGAAGAAGAGGAAACTATTAAAAAATCAGGATTACATCGTAAGATAAAAAGCAGGTGAAAGATTTATGATTATTAAATGTGGCGTTAATATGTACGTGTTATTCGGCAGTCCCCTGTTCATGTTATGCACCCAACAAAGCATACAAACAATAATAACTTACCTAAACGAAAATGTAAGAGAAAGGAATTTAAAAAAAAAAAAAAGCAGATAGCAAATTTTTTTTATTTCGATGGATTGGATCACGCGAAAAAAAAATACATTATTTTTTTTTTTAAATTTTAAAATTTTTTTTTTTTTTTTTTTTTTTTTTTTTTTTTTAAATTAAATTAAATAAAAAGTGATATTTGGTGGTTTAAATAGTAAAAAAAATTGGCTCTTTTTTTAAAGTTCAATTTTTTTTTGACCACCTAAAAGGATTTAAATTTTTCACATGAAAGATTGAAAGATCATTACTAAATTTAAGTTCAAACATATGTGTTTCCGATAATTATTCGCTGCGGTGAATTGCCCTAGCTTAATTGTAACACGTTACGAACAAAACTGTTTTTGGGGATGAGAATTGCGGATTATCATTATTTTAGATAATCATTTCTTCAAAAGAAATTAATTAATCATTTGTCTGAGCGTTGAGAGTAATTATTCCGTCTTAATGAAATACTTGTTGCATCTTGTACAACTTTTAGGAATTTTTAAAAAGCTACTTTCTAAAAAAAAAAAATTATGTTTGTCATATTCCTAATCTTTATCATAATAAAAATAAGTTGCAAAACATTTTCGCGATAAAAATATTTTGATCATCAAGCATAAATTTCGTCACTCGGTTACAATAGCATATGAATTCAACCGAATTTCAATTTTTATTATTAAACTTTTTAATTAAATGAAGGAATTCATGTATATAATAAATTTTGTTATTTGATCCACATGCGACGTTATATTGTACGCATGTGAAAATAAAGTATTTTACTCTTCACACGGTTAGGGATATTGATTTCAACCGTTAAAAAAATTTTACAATAAAAAATGGTTTAGTCAGCAATTGGTGTCTGATATCATTCAAGTCATGAAAATAAGGTTATAATAGGAAATAGAATTACAAAAAGATGATCTTTATTATGGTTTTCCCTTGAAGTTAAAGACAAAAATTCCGGGTCTTTTTAAACAATTTCCAATTATAATAAATAAAGTAAGACTTCTATTAAAAATCAGGTTCTGTGAATTTATCTCGAGATTTTATTGCATTTATCCCATTTATCCTGATAATGTCAAAATCTAAATTTTAATTTTGGAAATAATCTTATCTTAAAATATATTAATCAAATCGAATTTATCTAAGGAAAGAAATACTTTCAACTGTAAACTTGTTTGCAATCAAACTTACTGATAAATAGAAAAGTCATGTGCCCACTAATTTATCATTGGTCCAAATTATTTATAACAACTAGCGGCAATGCGTCATACAAGTGTAATTTGTCATACAGAGAATGATGATCATGATGAGTAGATCAATTTTTTATAATAAAAAAAAATAAATAGTTGATTTGAAGATTTTTAGTACACGTTTTTTTTTGATATAATTGAATTAAAGATTGTGATCAGCAAATTATGATTTTAATTAAACAATTTATTTAATAAAATGATCTTGAATATTCAAAAAGGTATCAGTTAGATAATGTAATATTTTACTATTTTTATTTTCAAAAATGAGTATTTTATGATTGAAAATTATAAAACAATTCTGTAATGGATATTAAGTTCTATGACAGTTACTTTCAAATAGTTGAAAGTGATATGTTTGTTTATAAATGGTTATATCTATTATAGAATCTCTTACAAAAAATGTGACTTAAACAGAATGATTAATAAGGTTTAGATCTATAATAATTTCAATAGTTCCATTACAAATATCTTGCTCAATAAAGAGTTATTAAAACACATGATATAAGTATTTAGTTGTAATCTTACAGAGGAAGGTAGATTTGTTTTGCTTTTAAAAAAGCTTTCAGAAAAGCAAGTATCCCATAATGTGAAATTTACTGAATCTACAGTTCGTAATATAAAGAATTTTCCTTCAGGAATGGGTAATACAATCAACTCTCTATAAATGCATCCCCCTTGAGACTGGATAAATATATGCATTTACAAAGGGTGTGCATTTATAGAAAAGTATAGATTTTACGTTATAATAACACAAAAATTATTTATTATAATAAATTAGACTAACAAAACATTATTATTATTATTATTTATTATCTATTATGTAATATAATTCTTTATCCTAAAATAATTATTAATTAAAGTATTGATTTATAGTAGTTTGTAATTGTTT